ACATTATTACTATATTCAATCCTTCTCATTATTATTATTCCACTTTGCAGGATAACATTGAACTGCAGGGTAGTGGACCTGTCGATCATGAGAGTGCCTTAGACGATAGTGTCATCACCATCAAGTACAAACCCAATAAGAGAGAAAAACATAATTTATTACTGACACTACAAGGTAAAAAAAAGACGATCATGAAGCAATTGAAGAAACAGTTAAAAAAACATCGTGGGATCAAGTGGTTCATTTGTGTTCAAGTAAAATGGTGAAATCGAGTCCTGATGGAGAAGATCAGTATCCCACGCCTCATTTGCGTTCCACCTGTGTTACCACAACAAATGACACATAAGATTCCTGTGGTGCTGCATAACCTCCGTAGGTATGGCTCGGTAGATTGACAGCAGAAAAGATCAGTTGTATTCCCAACAACACGGAGAAACATATTTCCTTCTCGGAAGGAAATTTAGTGTTTATCGATTCCTTGCAGTTCCTGAACAGTTCCTTGGAACGCCTGGACAATAATTTAAGTAAGGAAGGAGTGGGTAAATTTAAAACCYTTAAAAATATGTAAAGATTGATAAAGTACCTTTGCTGTTGCGCAAAGGTGTGTACCCCTACGTCTTCATAGACGATGCGCAGAGTGTGTTTACCACCTTTCAGTTGCATAACCTGGGAGAATACCACGACTTGTACTTAAAGTCAAACGTGTTACTACTGGCAGATGTCTTTGAAAATTTTCGCAATATTTGTCTGTAGTACTACGAACTGGACCTTGCCCACTATTACATGAGTCCAGGATTGGCTTGGTCTGCTCGTCTCAAGATGACCGATGTGGAACTAGAGTTGCTCACAGACCCTGACATGTACTTGTTCGTGGAGGAGGGACTTCGTGCTGGCATTTCTATGATCAGCTATCGTTATGCCAAAGCCTAAAACCCCTACATCCCTGGCTATGACCCAACTCAGGACAACAACTACATCATGTACCTTGATGCCAACAACTTGTTCGGTAAGCCAGATATTGCTCTCACAATATTGCATAATATAAATTCTAACAGTAGTGTTAATGATGTTTTTGTTTTTGTTGTTATTGTAGGATGGGCGATGAGTCAGCCACTCCCCACCCACGACTTTGCTTGGCTGTCTGGCTGCTTGGTGTGGCGGATGACAGTGAAGAGGGGTATAGATTGGAAGTGGATCTGGAGTACCCACAGGAACTTCATGATATGCATAGTGATTACCCCCTAGAACCTGAGAAAATGAAAGTGACCTCCGACATGATTTCCCCCGACTGTCAACAACTAAATGAAGACTTGAATGTGGGTGGGGTACCAGTACCCAAACTGGTGCCTAATCTCAACAACAAGACAAAGTACGTTCTTCACTACCGCAACCACAAGTTGGGTGGGGTAAAAGTATCCAAACTGGTGCACAACATCAACTATGATGAATGAGGAATGAGGTTGACAAAGATTCACGGTGTGTTAGGATTTGATCAGTCTCCCTGGCTAAAACAATATGTTGACTTCACACAGAAAAGAGAAAGAATGCACGTAATGATTTTGAAAATGACTTTTTAAAATTGATGAAAAATTCTGTGTTTGGCAAGACCTTGGAGAACTTGCGAAAGCGTGTCAACGTGTCAACTGGTGAACACGGAAAAACAACTCAAGAACCTAACAGCATCACCATTGTTCAACTACTTCAGAATCTTTGATGAAAACTTGGTGGCAGTCAACATGAAAAAACCTTCTCTATACTTAGATATACCCATATTTATCAGATACACAATTCTTGAATCCTCCAAAACCCTGATGTATGACTTTCACTACAACTACATCAAACAAAAATGTGGTAACCAGTCCACCCTCCCGTAAGAAAGTGCTTGGTAAGATGAAAGACGAAACCCATGGCTTACCCATCAAAGAGTTTGTGGGTCTAAGACCGAAAATGTTCTCTCTTCTTTATGCTGAGGATGGACGTGAGGTTGAAAAGAAAACCACCAAAGGAATTTCTAAACAGGTAACGAAGCGGGATATCAGACATGCCCACTACAGAGATTGTTTGCTTAAGCGAAAAAGAACCATGGCTAACATGAAACAAATACGTAGTTATAAACATCAAGTCTTTACCATTAACTTAAACAAGGTGGGTCTTTCCCCTTAATACACTATTAAGTTTATAAATATTGTACATTTAAGTCTTGTTGAGACCACAGGAAACCAAAACCACCACAGGAGCAGCCTCAGAAAAAATCGTTTAAGTAAAAAATAGTTTATTATTACATCATCTCCACTTTTGATTGTGATGACGTAATGGATAGAAATAGTATATGCGTACCTTTTTAGGGGGAACAGATTGAGCATTTAGCACCACAGTGATACCAGTGTACGCAAGTTGTTAACCAAGGGCTTCAGACATGAGAGTTGGAAAACTATAGAATTTATGCACAAACTATAGAATTTATGCACAACCTTATGAACGTAGTGTACGAGTGCATATTAGAAAATTTTCACACAAAGACCAACTCAGACTGGTGTTGCGCTTACTCTAATCGAATGGTAGGAGTTTGTTTGGGCAACGAGATTGATAGCGATTAACATGTTTGTGTTATTCAAGAGTTCTTTATTCGGGTGTTATGATAAGTAAGTTTTAGCTATCATGGTATTTATGATTTGTCTTGTTTTTTTTCCTTCCAGAAATATACACATAACACGGTGATGGAGGAAGCAATGAATATTATTTCCAAACATATGCTCTTGCTTCAAATCAATGTTGATTTGCTTCAATTGTTTCACCCCCATGCGTTGAAAGCAATGTGAATTCACTTTGTGTCCACCTGGATACAGCTCACCCTTGACCCTCCACGAGTGGAACCAAGAGGAAAAATGACTCTCCACCAAAGAAAAAAATTAACGAGACAAAAAAAGGACAATGCTTCTGAAGGTATTTATTCCTCATATTTTAATAACACCAGCTGTGCTTCATTAATTCATTGTTGCGGTTCTAAGAAATCTTTCTCTGTTTTTAAGGTATTAGCGAACAACGACAAACAACTAACTGGCCAGCTGAACCTTCCATTATGCCACCCACTCTGGTCTTGAATGTGGATGAAGCCATGAGACATCTACCGTAGAAACTGGTGCCAAATTATAACAGGATTTAGCCAAAGCAACCGAGTACAGGACTGGTATAACTTCAGAATTGACAGACTAAATACTGAAGACCTTGTCCAGCAAGTAGACAGCATCTTCCAAGACCAGACCACCGTGTTCCAGTTCAATGTGTCCTTTTGGATTAATTCTCCGAAACAATGAGACAGGTGAACTCCAGTATTACCACGCCACAATAATACCCGAGCCGTTCCTGATATCCAATGCCCAAGATTTACAACAAGTGCACAAAGCTTTAAGAAACTTGGACATCTTGGAATGGATCTGACAAAAAAGACCCAACAGCAAATGGATGGTCAGCTGGGTAATGAATGTTTGCTCTTTTGTTACCAAGCTAAGGGATCATCCCATCGGTCGTTTTTTATTGTTGCCCCTACACATTCTCAAGAACAATGCCATTGTGGATTTGGACTGCAACTAGAATACCAGTCGTCCCTATAAAGACAACTTGTGCTTTTCCAGGGGTTTGGCCTTCCATTACGGCTGCCATGCAAAAAATGTGGCGCAGGATACGAAATATTACTTTGAGACGTTAGTATTTCATCATTGAATAAGTGAAAACATTGTGAAAAGACACGACTTGAATAACCGCTAATTAGCTGTAATTAATAGTCTTTTGTTATTATTTTTTTCCAAAACATTTTAGAAAAAGGTTAAGTTTATCAAACTCATAGATTTTTTTTTCCTTCTTAGATTTCGCGAGTCCTATCCTACTCATCGATTCCTTGGAATCCAGCTGAAAAACCTTCCTAAACGAGTGAATGTCAAGTTGATTAACACAGAGAAACAACTCAAGAAACTAGCAGCATCACCACTGTTTGACTACTTCTGCATTTTTGATGAGAACCTAGTGGCGGTGAACATGAACAAACCTTCCCTTTACTTGAACCAGCCTTCATACACCCTGATGTACGACTTTCATTACAACTACATCAAACAGAAATATGGTAAACAGGCCACCCTCCTATTCACTGACACAGATTCCTTGTGTTATAGAATCAAGGCAGAAGACATTTACCAGGAAATGTATCAAGACATAAACCTGTTTGATTCCTCAGAATACAGCAGAGACCGCTTTTTATACAGTAAGAGGAACAAGAAAGTCCTGGGGAAGATGAAAGATGATGGATGAAAAAACTATGTAGCTGTAAACACCAATTTTATACTATCAATATGAACAAAATAGGACTTAGTCCTTATGATGACAAGTACCATATATTAGAAGATGGCGTAACCACCTTAGCTTATGGTCATGCAAGGATTCCTTTTACAAACTTAGACGCAGTGTAACGCCATTGGTACACTACGCTTTTACCTTTAGTTTATATTTGAGCATAAATTTTTGATTTGATATTTACTTTTATATTGTCTCTCAGAGAATTATTGTAATTTTATATATATCTAGGTTTATTTGATTAAGGATTAAACGCCCATAGCAAAAATCAATGTTTGTAATCTGATACATGTAACGATAGTGGGATTCCTGTGTTAGAGATGGGATCCCTGTGGGAATTGGGTGCCTTTGTGTAGTCCGCCATGTTTGTAGTTATCCAAGATTAAACACCCGTTTAGAGGCCCAAATAGTGTTTACTCATTATACAGCATAACGTAACAATACATTTACATATAAGATATGATTTGTATGACCAAATTAAAGGCCGTCAAGATTTCAATGGGTAAAAATGTGACTAGACCTTGCTCTTTTCTCTGTATGGAATCAAGCCCTTTCATTGTGTTTTGTTCCGCTGCCCTCTCAAGTGAGCTGGTGCCATCACACAAAGACTTATGAATACACTATATTATAAATATACTCATTATTTATTGTCACTGATTCGAGATATGAATGATTAATGTTAAATAAAAAAATTTAGCAAACTTAATAGCAGGTGAAGAAAAAATCACCTCCTCATTGCTGCTTTGCACAACTTTTGTCAAAGGTGAGTCACTGCTTACAATGCTAAACCAAGGGTGGAGGGTCCTTAACTCCATGACTTGTGGCCAGGAGCATACCACAGGGTGAGCACGCCGTAGACATTGGGCAATGAAATAGATTATCATGAAGAAAATGATGAAAGATAGGGTCCCAACCACTGAGTAGATGTAGACGAGGTTGGGTGTTGTCAAGAAACTAGATCTTCTTGGGGATGGCCTCGGGCTTCCTGGGGTGATAAAGGGTGGTACAGAATGGGTCTTTGTAGTAGTTGGGCTTGCTGTGGTGGTTGAGTGTGGTACAGAATGAGTCTTTGTAGTAGTTGGGTTTCCTGTGGGTTTAGAGGGTGGTACAGAATGGGTCTTTGTAGTAGCTGGGTTTCCTGTGGTGGTCGAGGGTGGTACAGAATGAGTCTTTGTAGTAGTTGGGTTTCCTGTGGTTGTTGAGGGTGGTACAGAATGAGTCTTTGTAGTAATTGGGCTTCCTGTGGTTGTTGAGAATACTGAATGGGTTTTTGTATTAGCTGGGCTTCATGTGGTGGTTGAGGGTGGTACAGAATGAGTCTTTGTAGTAATTGGGCTTCCTGTTGTTGTAGAGAATACTGAATGGGTCTTTGTAGTAGCTGGGCTTCATGTGGTGGTTGAGGTAGGTTACAGAATGGTTTTTCGTAGTAGATGGGCTTCCTGTGTGGTTGTAGAATGATGACCAGTTGGAGTAATGCAGTTCGAGGAAATGATCAAAGTTGGTATATTGGCAAAGGAGGAGCAGGTTTTCTTATCAAGTTCAGTAGCTTTAAAGTGTATATCAGGTCTAGAATTTTTTACGGTTTTGGCATCTCTAGATGATAT